GAATGGGCATGACACCGGAGGGACCACCAAGTAGACTCAACAATGCATAATCAATATTATATGTCATCAGAGGTCAGTGGTGATCATCACACCATGTTCGAGGAAACTTTTTTATGTGTCATCATCAAATTTGAACGTCATTCTGACGTCATTTCGACGTCAGCATGACGTCACAGTTGGTGAGTGGATGACGTAAATAAACGTGAGTAATATGACGTCATTCGACTGTGACTGACGTGAAAAGAAGTCACTGAAACGTCATCTGGTAGCCTGGATGGTGAGTTGGGTATTGATGAGTTGTTATGTTGATGAGTTAGCTTGATTGATTAGTTAGGTGAGTTAATTGTTGATGGGTTGAGTCGTTAATGGGTTGATCGTTGAAAAGTTAGGTAGTTGATGATTCGAATCGTTTATGAGGTCAATTCTTGAATAGGTGGGTCGTTTATGTGTTGATCGTTAATATGAGTTGGGTCGTTGATGAATCGGATCGTTGATGAGTTGGGCCGTTGATTAGTTTGGTCCTCAACGATAGGACTCGTTGATAAGTTGTGTCGTTGATGAGTTGTGTCGTGTATCGTTGATGAGTTGTGTCGTTGATGAGTTGTGTCGTGTATCGTTGATGAGTTTTGTCGTTGATGAGTTGTGTCGTGTATCGTTGATAAGGCGAGTATTGTTGATGAGTTGAGTCGTTGTAGATTTGACTCGTTGTTGGGTATTTCGTTGATGAATCTGGCTATTTTCGACTTAGGTCGTTAATCAGTAGTATTATTGATGAGTTGACCGTTGATAAATCGGATCGTTGATGAGTTGGAGAGTGCGCAAGAATTTTTGTTAGAAAACATGGAGTTGGCATGATCGAAAACATGGTAGCAAAATCACTGATTCTCATTTTGCACAATCCATCTTTATTCATAGTCGAAATAGAAAAGCCACAGCTTTGGCTATAGATCCAATCATTATCATATTTAGATCTACAACCTTTGCTTTTTGCGAGATTAAATGATCTATGCATACACATAATCTAATTCCGAAACGTTACTCAATATTTATTGAAACGATTTGCAAGTGAAAAAAAAAGAAGATGAATTGAACTACTCACATTCGAAAGGTACACTTCAATCATTCTAGGATTAGATTGGTTTCTTTTTAGCTATACCAACAGACAATGCCCTGCTATTCATGCACTGACAATCAACCCAAGAATGAATCTGTCTCTTTGAAGCATGAGGCTTCGAATATTTGCTTAAAACATCAAACTACCTGTATCATGATCTGATATGTATTCAATTTGCAGTACTTATTGTAACTGAAACTCCGATATAAATTGAAAAAAAAACACAGAAACTTAAGTAATTTAACACTGTCGAGTGTTTCAACAACTCAGGTATTACCTGATATCGAACTCGTCAACAAATAGCATTTTTTCCTGCAATCATGAAAGGAATGGATTATCCGCTCGAGATTTTTTATCGTTTTGTCAAATATCAAAACGAAATAGAGTTGTGGTACATAATGAACAAGATACTCTTCTTAAGACTCTTACGTGCTAGTATCAAGTTCTTATTTCACATCATCATCATGATGCAGAGGTCCCAGGAGAAATTGTGTATCCTCAATTCCAACAATTGCGACGTTGCCAAATTAAGGGCTCAACAACGATACAATCATGTGTGGGCTCAACAACGTTTATACAAATCTGAAGTGTATATCCCTATATACAAAAGAGCGCCCTCTACAGGCCGATCCCCGAAGTTTTCGCTGTATGTCGGTTATATTATCGGTATATTGTGGAGCCCGACCAAAAATGCGGGAAATGGCTTTTCAGTCAATTCTGACCACTCAGTGAAGAGATACAGGGCGATACGTTGTTGAGCCCGAAACCGGGCTCAACAACGTTTCTTCGGGCTCCACTACGTACCGTTCATATGCTAATCGGGCTCAACAATGACCGTTTAGTTATCTATATATATATATCATATGTTTATGTATCCCTATTATAAACAAATATGTTTCTTGGGGTAATAAAGAACAACAACAAGTTACTGAAATAAGAGTCAATAAGTTACTGCAATCTAACAGCAATGATAGTGATAGTACTACTGACTAGATAATCATCAGAGTATATAATAATTATAAATCATAGCAGTAATTAAAACATTGTACAATTGTGGAGTCACGTAGCTTGTCATCTGGTGCCCACTGTGTGATAAGTATAATATATTGATAAATATATTATACTTATCCGGTACTTACCCCCTTCACAGGGGTCTAACCTCGAATCTTCGATAAGGTCAACAGAATCACGAAGTGAAATGACATGTTGTATTTTTTCAGTGACACCGACAGTTCATCAACCTATGACGTCACTATGGTGGCGATGCCCGAAATTAGTGAATTTAGCAACACATTGATTTATTTTGCAGGGATATAAAACATTTAACGCAGAATATGACCAAGTTGGAAGTAATTCGGGATATCGAATTAAATATTCTTTCATTGGCAACACTGGCACAATGTCATGCACAAAATTTGAAAATCAAATGTCATTCTTACAGTACACGTCGAATTGAAAATTTAAAATTGATATCTGGTTTTAATCGAGTACTTTCATTGAGATAAAAACCATCAATCGATTATAAATGTAAGTACAAATATTCCTAATTTTCTCATGATGATCCAACCTCACAATTCCTTCTACAATAAAAGGCTTCGTGGACAAAACTGTTGAAAATTTGTGTCCACAGTTTCACAGATAATAACCATGAATATATATCTGAGACGACAAAAGGATCCTTCCGATGCTATACAGAAGGATTTAGGATGCCTAATTCAAAGAATATAAAGATTTTCATATGCTATGGAACACAACCTGAATATATTAGTCAACATGATGTATTGGATTGGAAGGTGAAGTAGAGGCTTTAATTTTTTTGACCATATATGAGAAATAAACAGAGCTTGGCTTTGTGTAAAAATATTTATATCTAAAATACATTGAAATGGAGATTTTGTATTGTTCAATACACCTTCACTGAATTCACATTCTCGCGAGGTACCATCACCAGATGCGGAAACAATTTTCGTTTTGTCCTTTGCAATTTAATTATCTGAAAACGGGATGATTAGTATGTGGTAACAAAATATGAAGCAATAGTATAAATACCTGGCTGAGGAGAATCTTGAGATTCCAGATTTTGTTTTCCAGGTAAATAATTTGGTGCTCTCCACAGTTTTCATCCGTCTGGGCTCTCCTAGACCAGAATGAATACTGTAAACTTTTTTGTGTTCGTACAGCATGATTTCATTCAAAACTTTGAACATTTCCCCAATATTTTTATCCATTCCCTCCTTCCGTGAATGTTTATTGAAAACTCATGAAATGAAAATGTTTTGCTTGTTTCAGGAGTATTGTCTCACCAAAATATGGAAACAGGGAAAAATGGTGGTTCTCCCAAAACCTGGTACTGATAGATCGAATGTTGGAAACTATAGACCAATCACCTTACTAACAATATTAGTAAAACTGCTAGAAAGAATCATAAAACAGAAAATCGCAGTGACAATAGATGACAAAATTCCCAACTCACAGTTTGGCTTCCGAAACCTACGGTCGACAATACATCCTTTGACTATTCACGTTTCGAATGCCCAATCAACAAAACTCAATAACCAAAAAACAGCCGCATGCTTCCTGGATATCGAAAAAGCATTCGATAGTGTGTGGCATAAAGAACCCTTTTTTAAAATGATGCTTCTGGAAGTGCCAGATAACCTCATTCATATAATCAAAAGTTTTCTGGAAGACAGACAGCTAGTTGTCTCAATAAATGATTCAAAGTCCCTTCCGTTCACTGCACAGCAAGGTGTACCACAAGGAGCCACTTTATCACCAATGCTTTACAACATTTACTGCTATGATTTTCCCCAACAGCAAGAACATCCCACCAAATGTTACACCATACAATACGCCGATGACACTGCCCTGATATCGCATGACAGAAACTTGAGAGCGCAACGGCGCGCTTGCAAAACCATATAGACAATGCAGTCAATTAGCTAAATGATCAGAGTGAGACTCAAAATAAATCCTCAGAAGTGTCAGCTAATGCTATTCAATCATGTTATAAAGAATAATTCCCCAACTGTGACAATAGCCAATTATGTGATCAACCCCATCAACACTGTGAAGTACCTTGGAGTCCAACTGGACAATAAACTGAATTTTAAATGCCACTCCAAAATTTGTGAGCATAATACAAAATCGAGAGCAAAATATTTCAAGTCTTTTACTTAATAATGGCATCAACTTCGCAGCAGCGGCAAAGATTTGTAAATCCATATGCAGACCTTTGCTGGACTACGGACATACAATATATCTCAACTGCAGAAATCCTACCATGCAGAATTTAAAAACTGCAGAAACGTCATCCCTCCGCACAATTACTAGAATAAGACATCCTGACAACCATCTACACAACCCCTCCAATCAATATTTGTACAACAAAACTAGAATAGAACCTATACAAGAACGACTGAGGAATAAATCCCCACCTAATTTCAAGAGAAGACATGACATCACATTTCAAATTCCCGGAAAGAACAATACAAGAAATACTTACATCATTGAGTGACAAACTCACATTTGTCATTCACATTGAAATTATTAAAATACCACCCATGTCAAAATTTACTGGCTGCATGGCCTTTTGGTTGTAATTTATAACCAATAAAGAGCATTTATTATTATTATTATTGTCTCATCCGTTGATAACACATTTATATCCGGGCTTACCTTAGTTTCCCTTTTCCAATATCAACAAAAGTTCGAAATTTCGGATTTGAATTTGAACTGACATTTTCTTGACAGCACTGAACTTGACAAATTTTAAACATTTCGTGAAATGATAGAATTGAAAATGTTGCCAAGAAAAAACAAATAATGATATCCAATATGTCAAAAGCAGCGCTCAGCGTGAAATGGTCTATTATTGTATACTCACTGATTTCTCCACTAGTAAACGTCAACTCGTTGTCCTCGACTGCTTCGAAATCGTACAAAGCCCTCACCTTCCTGGACTCTTTAGCTGGAACGGAACTAGCCGGCAAAGAAGCGGATCCCGACATATTGACTGAAGGGTACAAGGAGTTGGATTGATTCAACTTAGAGGTGGACCTGGGAGAACCGGATTCCTTGAGAGATAGCTCGATGGCTTTCATGATCTGTTCTTCCTCCTCTTGCGACTCAACGACGTTAGGGTCTTTGCTGACCGGAGTCGTTTTTTTGGCGGGCTGAAAAACGATTCGACTCAGTTGATTGATCAGTGGCGGATCTACGATTTCTGGGGCACTAAGATTAGTAATTTTTGAGGGCCTCTGCGGCTCGTTGCCTCATTCCTCATTTTGTTTTTCTTTTCTAACCAAGTTTTCGAATAATAATACCTATATATGCAGACTGACTGACAAAAACACACCAAGCAAAAGCGCAGCTGGCGCTATTAACTATTAGACTGTTGGCCCGCGACACAGGGTTTATCGATGTTTTAAGTCGGTATGCCATTTAAGGGACCCACTCACTTAGTCCAAGTTAACAGGAAGGAGTGCCTTGGAGAGTCGCAACCCAGTCTTTGCCCTGGCCCTGACCTCACCGTTCGGTTGGAAAAAAGTTCAAAATTTTGTTTAAGGAGAAGCTCGGCAATGAAGTGCAATGATCTTATCTCACGAAAATTGGGGCGCTTGCCGGTTTGCATACGCCTAGGTCACTCCCCAAGGGCGGCATACGAACCGGAAGTGGCAATTTTTCAGTGTTATAGTCGATGATCATTAATCAGTTTCCCGACATTTGCATACGATTCCGGAGAGGGGAGCTCGACTTATTCGAACATCAATTGACTTGATATCTTTCAAATAATCGATAATCAAAGAAACGGTCGAATTTTGACCATGGTTAGTGGACCACACTGAGATGATGGTTTGCATACAATTTGCACATTCCGTACAGGGTGGTTCACTATAAATATCTCCCTTTGTAACTTAGTTGGTTCTGAACCGATTTTAAAATTTAAAAAACCAATTTTTCTAATAGACTTTTCATTGTTATTAAAAAATTCACAGGCTGTTCATAACAAATGAACTATGGGGTATTTGTTGATTTTTTTTTACTGGAACACTATATTTTATTTCACTATCGAATTGAGATGCTCTACAGCATCTAGCGATATCATTTACATGCAGCACTCTCATAGCGATCATGCGCCAAATTGTCAAATTGTGCCAGAAATATGAATCCCGGGTTTGAAGTATTTTCTTTTTTTTTGCTGAAACAATTTTCATATCTGAACAATGATTTGCTGCGTCAGCCGGGTAGAGTGTAGCACGTAATAATTTATGCATTCAATAATGTTTTCCCTTTTATCGGAGATCCGATATTTAAATATCTCAAAAACCATTTACTTTTGTATAATGCATAATACAGATTTATTCACTTCTTACCACCTCCCCTGCCAGTGGATTTTTTTTTGTTAATTTTTTTTTATTATCGCTTGGAGCGCACGAAAGGGAATCCCTATAATGTTCAAAGAACATCGTGCGATCCTAGGGAGGATATAGGGACAGTAGGTAGGTATTGGAATTTTTTTTTGAACTTTTGGAGATTATATGTTGTTGGAAATACTTCCACAGGCAATGAATTCCAGAGCCTAGCCGTTCTATGAATGAATCGGATTACCAGTATCCCTGTATGTAAGTGTAGCGTGTGAATCTGGGATGCGTGTTACAGGATGATCGTTGTACTCCTGCCTTCCTGATTATGTTTCTAGAGCTCCTCTAAGGGAAATATCATTACAGTGAGTTTCGATCATGAGCAATTATTCACCCCTCTACCTCTCTTGATCAGCCTGCGAGTATTTTGTCGTCAATTTTTTTATCATCTTTTCAAATTGAAATCACACACAAAGATTTCTTGATACTAAACCCCTCACACATGTAATTTTGTTGAGATGTAAATTTCTGATGAATAAATACAAATATATCTGCAATTTGCATCTTCGAATACCCCCATCACTCACATATTTGACCCGGTTTCATGTGAAGTGAGATTATGAGACTTCCAGATTATCTAGTTCGCTTTCGGTGCACCTCTGGCCTGCAGTGCGGGGCGCCGCGCCGGACCGAGGCACGCGCGGGTTTGCCAGATTATTACAAGCTAATTTTGTAGTTATATAACATCATTGAATGTGATTCCATGAAATTAATATGGATGAAATTTGAAGCTTTAACGAACACTTGGAATGTCTTCTCGTCATTGGGCATCAAATGTAGATGGTAATCATCATTATTAAAATTTTTGCAATTCGATATTGAATAAGACATATTCGAAAACATTTTCGCGGGGACGCCTATACAATTTTCAGAACTAGCGTTTTAAATCTGATAATGATGACAATTCAAAAATGTCAGCGGTGACAAGCGTGTCCACAATCATTGAAGGTCATGTAGGGAGATGTTCGAGGCACTCTAGGTTATATACAGGGGTCGCACTAAGGTCGGCGAGGTATGATCTCATGGAAACCATAAACCTCAGGACTTCGAGGAAATGATAAAATTAAAAATTATTTTTTTCTCGAAAACCACTATATTAAGGTACTGTTTCAATGACGAAAATGCAGAGTTCATTGGAATTCGCGTCAGTTTGTTCCCGTACTTTTTTTTCATATCTTAAAAAATAAAGGTGGGGGAAGCTGGTGAAGAAATCATTTTTGAAAACGCTTCATCCCCGATATCCTTCCTTCAAATTTGATCAACATGGGCTCACTTGGAAGAGAATTTCACAACCTGAATTTGACATTGATCTCTAGTTCACACAGCGTCTACTAGATGGCGTCGTTCACCAAAGATCCTGTTTTTTTTTATTTTTCCAAAAAAAATCAAATGAAATGCTACATATTTTGATCAACAGATTCAAAATGCATTAAATTAGCTGCATCTTGGCGAAAACCGTGATTCGATATCTTCATCCGTTTTCGAGTTATTCTCAAATAACTAAATTTTATTAAAAAAATCATGTTTAATTTTCTGATTTGTGTTATCTTAAGTAAAACTGCATTTGAACGAAATAATTAGCAACTTCATCATATTCACCTGCGCTATTGATTAAAATGCTTATTTTTCGAATTTTCAGCCTTTTATTGCATGTGTTGATCTAATATTCTCGTTCCATGTGCAAAATAATAATAATTGATGCAATTACCATCTCTTCACGAAATGAACAAAAATACGAATCCTAATAGTCAACAACCAAACTGCTAAAACGAAAAGTAAATTTTTTTTATAAAATTCTACAATAATGTCAACTTCACAATGAACGAATAAAAGGAAATCAAATACCGACACATTCTGAAGCCATCTTCATTCAGCGATATCCAGCGAGGAAACACATGTCTATCGGAAAGTGAAAACAAGAAAAGGTCCCTACAAGTGTTCAAAATGCATTCCATTATTCTCAAAGCAAGAATTCAATCTGCGTTGCGTGCTTGACACAGCTGTATCAACTTCAGCTCTCGAAATGATGGCAATAGCATCTCGAATACGTTGCATCATGTTATCAGCAGTGGTAGGACAAGTTTGAAAAACGATATCTTTGAGCTTGCCCCAAAAATAAAAATCCAGCACAGTGAGATCTGGGGATCTAGGCGGCCATTGACACAAACTTCCTCGTCCGATCCAGCGATTCGGATATCTTTGGTCCAAAAACTCACGAACTATCCGAGAAAAGTGTGCAGGACATCCATCTTGCTGAAACCACATGCCTCTTCGTATCAATAATGGAACCTCTTCTGCTAGAAGCGGCAATTGGTTCCTCAAGAAGTCCAAGTAAATATTCCCATTGAAATGTTCATCGAAAAAGAAAGGCCCAATAATCCGACTGTCTAAAATGCCACACCACACATCAAAACTCCATCGATTTTGATGGTCAACTTCACGCATCCAATGGGGATTATCAGTGGACCAGTAATGCATATTGTGCAAATTGACTCCTGCCTTACTGGAAAAAGTTGCTTCATCAGTCCATAATACTCCAGACAAAAAACAAAAATTTTAGAACAATAGCGCAGGTGAATATGATGAAGTTGCTAATTATTTTGTTCGAATGCAGTTTTACCTAAGATAACACAAATCAGAGAATTTGTTCAAAATTAAACATGATTTTTTTTTAATAAAATTTTGTTATTTGAGGTTAACTCGAAAACGGATAAAGATATCAAATCACGGTTTTCGCCAAGATGCAGCTAATTTAATGCATTTTAAATCTGTTAATCAAAATATGTAGCATTCCATTTGATTTTTTTGAAAAAAATCAAAAAAACAGAAACTTTGGTGAACGACGCCATCTAGTAGATGCTGTGTGAACTAGAGATCAATGTCAAATTCAGTGTTTAAATTGTTGTGAAATTTTCTTCCAAATGAGCCTAAGTTGATCAAATTTGGAGGAAGGATATCGGAGATAAAGAGTTTTCAAAAATGATTTCTTCACCAGCTTCCTCCACCTTTATTTTTCAAGATATGAAAAATAGTCCGGGAACAAACTGACGCGAATTCCAATGAACTCTGCATTTCCGTCATTGACACAGTACCTTAATATAGTGGTTTTCGAGCAAAATTGAATTTTTAGTTTTATCATAAAGATTGCGCCCTAGCGGTCGATTTATAAACTTGAAAATATTTTCTACCAATTTTTCTTGGCCGATTTAGACCTTAATTTTTTTCCTCGAAGTCCTGAGGTTTATGGTTTCCATGATATCGTACCTCGCCGACCTTAGTGGGACACCCTGTATATATTCGAAATTGGAACGCCTGGGACTATCCAATTGAGCCAAAATATACGGGGTGCTCTGTAAGAAATAATATAATTAATTGGCTGCCGTATCTTCTCACTGTCACCCTGTATAAAATTTATAATGATGCCAATAGAAGGTTCGCATCATACTATATGAACGAATGATTGAAATTTCCAATATTCCTCACTATAAAGTACTCAGATAATAGAAAAAAATAGAAACGAAATCAGCAAAGAGAAACTCATATCCCTACCAGCTCAACTGTCAATCTCAAATCTGATAAAGGGAAAGGGGATGTGATGTGGTGGTTGATACCAAGGACGGCGGATTGCTACTAGAAGTGATAGGTTTTTCAATTCTAAATTTTTTCAAATGTCGCATCAATTTAAAATTGTTTGAACTCCATTCAGTGAGGACAACATACTGACTAATTCTTCGCATTCTTATATACCGGGTGACACAGGATATCGCGCACCCTTGTAACTTTGGAACAGTTATATAAGCAACCATTTCGGATTTGATCACAATAGAATAGAATAGAATTTATTGATCTCATAATACCAAATAATGACATAAGACAGGTCAAGAAGAACAAATTAAAATCGAAAAGTCTAGCCGAAACTAAAGCGTTTACCTTAAAATATTAAAATTGGCCAAAAATATAGGTCAATAAATACAATATACAATAACATAATACAAAACTAGAAACATACAGGTACATCAAAAATCAGGATCAGTTTGGACATAATTTAACGATTATTTTCAAAATATTCTTCAACTGAGTATGGACACATGTCAATGAGATAATTTTTAGTTTTCTCTTTGAATTTATGCACCAAAGCAATATCTTTGAAACATTGTCCCATTACTCTAGGTGATTTCTTACAGATTTCTATTCGCTGGTAAGGTATCAAGAGATCTGATTTATATCTTCAGTCATGAGCATGAATATCACTATTTCGTAAATAATCGTTTTTATTTCTATGAACTGATGTGATTAAATCTAATATATAAATGCCATAGATAGTTAAAACAGGTCGACAGGAATCTGCAAATGAGATGTTTGAAATACATCTTATAATTTTTTTCTGTGACAATAATACTTTTAGCACGAGGAGAGCTCCCCCAAATACCAATTCCATAACTAATCCTAGACTGTATTTCACTAAAGTAAAGTGAATGATTGTGATTTATATTGAGTGTTTTTCTTAAATTTCTAATTTGAAAACATTTGGAGTTCAACATCTTGGATAGATTTAAAAAATGTGCTTTAAAGGACAAATCTGAATCAAATAATACACCCAGAAATTTCACTTTTTTCTTCTTGTTATGTTTGAGTTGTTAACCAATATATCAAAGTTAGGGGTACAAGTTTTTTGGCGAGGATGAAATGATATAAAATTCGTTTTAGTTGTATTAAACAACAAGGATTGATCACTAGACCAGGCAGAAAATTTCAACAAAACATTCATAATTTTGGCCATTGAAATGTTTGGGTCTTTTTCACTAAACAAAAATGTTGAATCATCTGCATGAAGAGTGGTAAAAGAAGAAGGTACAACAGAAGGTAACTAATTTATGTAAAGGATAAATAACAGGGGCCCAAGTATGGATCCCTGTGGAACTCCTTGTGCATTTACCATTAGATCAGACATATATGTATTTCCTTTATCGATAATCTTGACGGATTGTAACCTGTTATCTAGGTACGCTTTTCCTCTCATACCGTATTTATAAAGCTTGTCTTTTTATTGTGTTGAACACAGTCAAAAGCCCGACTGAGATCACAAAATATCCCAATCGGGCTTTCGCCCTGGTTGACCAAATTCACAACTTCAATCCAATATGGCGGACTTCCGGTTTTTTTCTGGAAATGCCAGCAACTTATATTTCTAAATATCATAGTTCAACAGGGCAAAACAAGTGCAATCTCAATGTCAAATATCATTTTTCCGAAAACATTGAAAGTAAATTTGTTTTTTTCATTTCACCTCATGGATAAATGAGATGTGGTCAAGGCGGTTCAAACATATACATTAAGGAAAAAAATTACATAATTTTTGTATTTCGGTGCAGTAACAAGTTTTATACATTCAAAAATCATCAACTAGTTTCATGAATATCCTTACAATTAGAATAATTTTTCAAGTAAGCTGTGGAAAACAACATTCCTGAATCTTGTCCTAATGATTGCACCTGTTTTGACCTGTTGAACTTCAATATGTGAAAGTATACTGGGTGTCCCATTGGAAAAAAAGTTGCTGGTATTTTCAGAAAAACCGGAAGTCCGCCATATTGGATTGTTATGTCAAAATATCCAAAATGGATACGTACATCACTGTCCGAAATTTCATAAAATCCGTTTACAAATGCAGAAGTTACAGGGGTGGCCCGATACTCTTTGTAACCCGGTAGATAACCCTGTATAAAATGTGCTTTCAAAATTCACAGTGTATATACATGAACCTGAATAGGAGAAAAGGATTTAATAGAATATAACTTACCAGTTCTTCCACAGTAAAATCCAAGCCAATATCCTTCAACTTAGATATCATAGATGGTATTAAACTAAGCTGGACATCAGATTTGAATTCATTGTCAGCCCACTTTTTCAAAGATTCCCTAAGCTTTTTTGATACATTTGGATGTGCCTTGGTCATCAATTTTGTGAAATGGGTTTCAAAATCCCTAGACGCAACTTCTGTGTGAAATTTTTTGCCAGAATTCTTGATACATGCATCCAATAGCTGAAAAATAATGTGTTTAACTGCCATCAAGAAGATTAGTCTATATTGAAAGTATCTTACAACAATTATTTGTGACTGAGAATCTAAAAGTTATGATGAATATGAATGAATGAATATTAATTAATTTATTACGTTCCGAAAAACATAAAAATGTCATCTAGGAACACCTCTCTTACTAGTTACAAGTCATTATAGTTTTACAAATTAGATAATATCGGACATAATAATTATATTATTGATTCAAATCTGTCTCAATTTAGTGAATATACCCTAGTTTGTACAATAGTAATAAATGGGTAACCTTACGGATGGCATAATTCCAAAATATAGCTTTGAAAAAACATTCAAAATAAGTATAACGGTCAGAGAGGCATGGAAAGAAGGACCTCCTATCAATGCAGACATTGCTGTCTATACGGACGGCTCCGAAACTGAGGAAGGATCAGGAGCTGGTATTTGAAGGGCAAAGCCAAAGACAAGAATCTCACACTGAGCTTAGGTAAATACGCGACGGTGTTTCAGGCAGAAGTTATTGCAATACATCATTGCGTGAAAGAATTGATAAGGCAAGAGTTCAAAGGCAAAACCATTGCAATCTATTCAGATAGCCAGGCGGCCATCAAAGCAGTCAAATCTATGCAAGTTAACTCAAAACTAGTATGGGACTGCATAGAAACCCTAAATGAACTGGGCAGTCAGAACAGACTGACTGTAGCATTGGTACCAGCACATACAAGGTACGAGGGCAATGAAGATGCAGACTCACTTGCCCGAGCAGGAGCAAACAAAGCTCTGAATGGCCCAGAACCCTTCTGTGGTATTGCGAAAGCTATACAAAAGACTAGTATCAAATCATGGATGCAAACCAAATCTCAAGAATGGTGGAACAACTCGCCAGGTATGAGACAGGCAAATGAGTTTATTAAAAAACCATCGCCAACATTCACAGAATATCTACTGAGCCAGAAACGAAGTTCAACTAGAATACTAGTGGGACTTCTCACAGGGCATTGTAAGCTCAACCATGAGTACGATAGGTCTGACTGAAGAACTGCTGTGCAGGTTCTGTCAGGAAGAAGAGGAAACAGCAGTACACATACTTTGCCACTATGAGGGCTTGACAAGACTAAGATTAGTTAGGCTGGGTGAGAAAAACCCAGAAGCACAAAGATACACAGGGGATCTGAAAGCTAGCCTATGGAGTCTCATAGAGAAGGCGGGGCTAGCCGAAGAACTCTAATCGATTTTGAGGGCAGACACAATAGATCTGAAAAGGTCGCGGTGTGGAGGCAGATAGCCTGAAGGCCCCATTCTAAATCTAATCTAATGGGTAACCTTTTAACTGAACTATAATATATGTTATATACAAGTATCTAATTGTTTTCCTTTTAAATCCAACCTCCTAATCTCCTAATGCTAACTGTACAAATCATAACTTCAGTGGAATGTGAGACTTCAACAAAGCTTTGAATTTTTTTGAACCTCTTCTTATATGTAATGGCTTTTTGTTGTACTCTGAAACTCCTTCATAAAATACTGAAGTAATTCCATAGTTCGTCATTACTCTTGGGACTTGAAAATGTCTACAGTTTCGAGTATTATTTCCGTGAATTTCCTCTCTAGTTTGGAATGTAATTTGTGAATGTCTAGCACTATCTACTATCTGAGGTATGAATACATTGACTTGAAAAGTATATAAACTTACCAGTGATCTAACATTATAATGTTCATATAGATTCAATAGATTCAAAGTTGAATATCTTGATGGCAGGTTATATAAGTTTCTAATTGATTTGTTTTGCAGGATTTTAAGTGGTTTTAAATAACTCTCATATGTATTACTCCAAATTATTGTCAGATATTGCAAATGTGAATGTATTAGAGAAAAATACACAGATCTCAGAATGAAACTTGGGACAGAATAGCTCAATCTTCTCATAATACCCACTGGCCCAACAATTTTTTTTTCTAATATGTTCTAGATGTGCTTGCCAGGATAGTTTTGTATCAATAATTATCAGTCCCAATAACTTAATTTCATTTTTATATTGAAGTGATCCACTTTGAAAACTTATGAAAAGTTATTTCATTCTTAACATAATCAGGTACAGTGCTTCTGGTTATCCACATAAAAGATGATTTTTTGATATGCAATGTAAGTTTGTGGCAGAGAAGCCATTTTAGCTGTGATAAATCTCGTTTGATATTCTCGATAACTGTGCTATGAGTTTCACTGAAATATGCAATTGTGGTATCATCAGCATATAGTATAATACTAATTTCCAAGTTGTCTATAGAATTTATGTATATTAAGAAGAGAGTGGGGCCCAGGACCGAGCCTTGTGGTACACCACATATCAGATACAAGAGCACGTTTTAGTTTCTCGTCAACTTTCATCTGTAATTTTGATATAAGGTCTACAACTGCACTACTAGTATTGCTCGATCTGATAAAGCCATATTGGGAGGGTGTCAAAATCTTATTTATATCTAGATATTTCAGGAGTTGGTTATTAACAATTTTTTCAATGATTTTGGATAGACTAGGAAGAACAGAGACAGGGCAATAATTGTTTACATCGTCTAGGTCACCAGCTTTAAACAATGTAGACACCATTGCAATTTTCATTTTGTCCAGAACTAACCAGCATTCAAGTGATTGATCAACTAATTTACACATAATCCCTTTCACCTCATCTTTGCACTCTTCAATGGTTTTAGTGTCAATATCATCATATCCAGATGCTTTTGGAATCTGCAGCTCATTAATGATTTCTTCAATGTCTCTTGGTTGTTCATGTGTGAATTTAAATTTTGCTCCACATGTTATTTCACTTGTCATAATGATGGAGTGGTCTGGAATTGATGATGCTAGGTTAACACCCACCTCAGTGAAAAAATTGTTGAAGATCTGGCACATTTTCTGTGAATCAGAAATGCTTGCTTCTGCAGAAGTTTTCAGAGATATTATGGAGTTTACTGATTCCAAGCAGCTGTTTTTTAGAATCTGATTTACTACTTTCCATGTTTTTTGCAGCTCTTATTTCCCTTTTCAATGCCTTCTTTGCCTCTTGGTAAAGATTTTCTAGGTTATCATTGTCTGCATCATTTTTCAGTTTTTTGAAATAATAATCCTGTTCTTTAATCAATGACAATACTTTCATTGTGAACCAAGGCTTGGTGTGTGCTCTGAATCTGTTTCTGCATTTTTTGTAAATGGTGTTCAAATTGAAACACCATTTTTTCATAGTTGTCATTTATAGTTTTCTTATCTGTATAAGTTTTGTCAAGTTCCAGTAGATCCAGTTTCAATATATCTTCATTGATTTCCTTTTTTATGCAAAATGGTTTCAGTGATTCTTTGTTGCATTGATACTAGTTTGCAAAATCTGTATGTCATGATCACTAATGTTGTTGCTTACAATAGATAACTCCATGATGTCATCAACTTTCTGACTAATCAGGCAATGATCAATAAGGCTTTCTGAGTGATTTGTGATTCTAGTGGGTGACAATCCCTTACTGAGACAGATATCTTTATAGTTCTCTATCTCTCTGGACTTTTTCAAAATGTTCAGATTAGTGTAGCCCATCAGTAGAGATTACACTACAGAGCCATAATATGTCATAGCCTAGATTATGATACAAGATATCTACAAATGTCTACTGAGGCATTGGCAATCTGAATGAAAACCTAGTAGGCCACCTAGTACTAACTACCTGACAATGACTAAGGTCTGCAACTCATGAAATTTACCTACCCAATATCATGACAGAAAATATGGTCATAAGAATGTGACTTTTCCAAAAATTTTAGTGATATCTGGTATACAATAACATTTTAGGTATAATTTATGTTACCAATAAATCTGTAAATGGCAAGGAGCAGGAAACATTTTTGTTAAATGAGAGTGAAAGGTGAAAGCACAGCCGTCTTCAACTTGAAGACGGCTGTGGTGAAAGACTTCTCTCACTCAAGTTCTCACCTATGGGTTGTAAAAAAATCACTATTATTTTTAGAAGCAAGCATTGAATAATGGAAAGTTGAACAATCTTAGTTCATGTGAATACTGCTTGTTACCTAGAGAAATTGGAATAACTAGTCAAACAAACTTGAATGAATTTTCAAAACTAGGAATGATAAATCATATTTCTACTTACTTCATAGCAGTATTAAATTTCTTGAAAATGTATAATACTTACAGTCACAGCTTTAATACCAACATGGGGATCAGGATTGTATAAACGTTTGGTTATAGCTTGAAGGTAGTTCTTTGCATCCTCTGGTGATTTTCCAGCACTGTCACAAATGTTCATAATAAGACTCCAATCCTCCTCAACATTTTTCTCAGTTGTGGCCGACTCTAAACAATGGAAAGTGATGAAGTGGATTCAACGGTTGACAGCTGATTAATTTTCATGTATACTTTCAAGTACTTATTCACAATTTGAAAAAAGTCTGCTATGACTCACCTACTTCATCAACTACAGGATCATTGGATGTTCCAAATAAACCCATCATATCTGTTAGTTTAGTTCTATCCAGTATCCAGGTTTAAACTATGAAATGTGTAATATTTACTGCGTACTGGAATATTCAAAACTTTTATAATGATGAGTTCATTGCTATATAGAAAATGTAAAATTAATCCTTTAATTATTGACCAGACTGATAAAAGTGTTGTTGTATGATAAGTATCAACAAATAATTGATGGAACAAAGTAATCGAATCAACTCATATTCATATCAACTTCAAAGAATTTTATATTTAATATTATTAGATCTTTGATGACACATAATCAGAATAATCACAAATAATGAGAATACTGTGAATAGGGAATCACATAAATTTGTTGTTTTCTGCAAAAGTCATGTCACCACAGAATATCATTCTGTCAGTGATAACGCTGACGGTGCTCTGACGTTAGCGTCAGATGAACACGAGTCATCACCTGTCATATCGTCATGTCTGTTGTTCATTGGTCTGTTACACTGTGTTACACCCATATATTATATTATATTTACTATTTCTCATTTTACCCAATAGTAAGTAAGTAAGTAAGTAAGTAAATTTATTTCCCACAGGCGAATATTCATAGAGGTTAATAATAAAGTGAGCATTAACAATGCATACAATAACTACAATTATTATGAATATAAGTCAAAAGCACGAAGCATAAGGAAGTAGTAAACTGCGCAGACTCAGATTATATAAAGAAAGTTGTTTCTACAGTTTGCAATTTTCAGAGAAAGTCTGTTTGAAAGTATTCACTGATACAATAAAATATGTATTGATGCAATGAAATTTTCAGTTCAGTTTTGAATTTACCATTGGACATTAACTTTAGTCTTTCAGGAAGATGATTGTATAATTTGATTCCAGTATACATGGGAGATTTGCGAATTCTGGTATAGTTGTAATGTGGTAGTATAACCTCTTGTTTTCTCGTTGGATATGTGTGTATATCAGCCGGGCGTAACAGTGTATTCCGTTTTTTGTGTATTAGAAGAGTTACTTTGAAAATGTACAAATTTGTTAGGGTGAAAATTCTGTGTTCTTTGAAAGAGGGTCTGCAGGAATCTGTATATTTCAGATCAAAAAGTATTCGGATTGCTTTTTTTGTATTGTAAATATGCTAGGTGAGTTTACTGCTGTACCCCAGAACTCGATTCCATATTGTAGGAGACTATGAAAATAGGCAAAGTAAACAGATTTGGCAACGGATACTCCCGTATTTTGTCTTACCGTACGTAATGCAAATATGGCTCTACTAAGTTTTGAGTTGAGTTGTGTAATATGACCGGACCAGTCCAACTTCTCATCGATAAGGAGCCCCAAAAATTTAGTAGAATCTTGTGGGCAGATCGGTTTCTCGTTCAGGAGTATATTAATTCCGGGTTTGTTCTGGTATAATTGAAACAAAACATTATGTGTTTTGTCAAGGTTGAGTGAGAGTTTGTTGGCTATAAACCAATCGGATATACCATCCATGATATTCTGTGAAGAAATTTCCAGCATTTCTGTATTTGGCTCATGTATGACTATACTCGTGTCATCAGCGAACAGAGAAAAGCTGACTGTTGGGAAATTGGCAACAATGTCGTTGACATATATCAAAAAGAGGGTGGGGCCCAAGACGGAGCCTTGAGGAACACCGCATGTTACTTCAGCAAGATTCGAGTAGAATTCCTGAATTTGGTTGTTACTTCTCTGAGTGACACGGACACACATTTGACGTTGGGACAAATACGACCCGAACCAGTCATTGGCCAATCCACGTATTCCATAGAATTCCATTTTATTCAATAAAATTTCATGATCGACGCAATCAAATGCCTTGGATAGATCGCAGAAAATTCCCAAAGGGAGCTGTTTTGATTCCAAAATCTGGTTGATTTTTTCTAATAAGGCAAATGATGCGTCGGTTGTATTCATGTTCTGTCTGAATCCAAATTGTGAGTTTGTTATTATATTCTCTTTTTCAAGATAGGTGATCAGTTGTTGATTTGCATTCCATTCCAGCAGCTTGGAGAAACAAGATAACAGCGATATGGCTCTATAATTGTTCAGGTCGTATTTGTCGCCTTTTTTGTATAAAGGTATCGTGATGGACGTTTTTAATGCTGTTGGGAAGTTTCCTCCAGTGAAAGTGAGGTTGAACAAATGAGTTAAGGGACCTTTGAGAACGTTTATGTTATCTTTTATTGTGATTATTGGTATATCATCCAAACCAGTGGATTTTTTTGACTTCTGAGCAGAAACACATTTGATAATATCATTTTCGGTCAATGGTGCGAAAAAAAAGGAATTTACGTTGTTGAACTTTGTCATTTTCAAGTAATCAGAACTCAATGTCTTGCTTTTTTCTTTTGGAGCTGACATTTTACCCGTGTTCACGAAATATGTCTTGAATTCTTCAGCGATAAGTGTGGGGTCTGAGATTATTGTATTATTTTTATGGATAGAAAGATTTTCGCGAGTTTCAGTTTTTTTCCTAGTGAAATGCCCGACTATTTCCCAAGTTGTTTTTGCTTTGTTTGTAGAATTCGATAAAAGGTTTCCAAAGTACATAATTTTGGCAAATTTGATGATGTGGTTTAGCATACGTGTATACGTGTATAATGCTGCTTCTTCTTTCGTCACCTCTCTTCTACTTCATACTCTATATAATCTCTATATTATATTCTCAGCGTTTATTATTTTGATAACGGGTATTTTCTGATATCGAAAATAATATAATTAACAACGGAAATAAATGTTACATTCCTTCCCCCTCTAATAATAATAATGACAGTTTACTGAAGCCACACTACCTTTTGATCTTTTGATACTCAGCAATTTTAGCAGAATGCTGAGTCGAAATATTCGGAATGAATAGTACGGCAAGGCCGGGACACACATATCCGCGCCGAGTCCGCACCGCATCCGCACCGAGCCCACTCCGCGAGTCGGCCGACAGTCGGTGATAGAGGTGGGAGGCCAAGGAGGTGGGAGGCCACACATTTCCGTGTGTCGGCCGTGGGCCGTGCATGCAGTTGCATTATAGTTTTCAGTTTGCCCTTCTTGAAGATGTTCAAAAAATTCAGTAGCAGTGAGTTAGGGATAGTAGCACTCGCATTAGAGGAAGAAGATACTAATTGAGGACCTCGGTGCAAGAACCGGGCAACTCCATTTTATGTCGAAATTGGGTTATTGATGTATTCAACATAATAGATTTTTTTCTTGCGCATCTTTTGGTGCAAGAAGCAAGCGAATCCAACAATCTCCTATTGAGTTAACACGGGAAAGGATTCACCTGATGAGCAATTGAGGTGCAAGAGTCGGGCAACTTCAGGAGTTACCCGATTTTAGCACCGAAATGTACGCGTGTAGTGGGAGATGTCGAAGTGAGGTTATTAGCGGCAAACCTTCCCGCGTCTTCCATCATGTGTGGCGTGTTTAGTTTGATCATTTGTTTCATGCAACACAATGTAATGTCATCGGAAAGTGAAAGTGAGCCCTTTCGAGATTCGGGGAGTGAATATGTTCCAACATCATAACTGTTGACGACGAGGACCCAAATTCTGGCAATATTAACGAAGATCAAGACGCAGGAAACGTCAGGGATTCATCTTATGTTCAAAATACTATTTGTTCACGATATTTCTCGTTTTATATTCCATTCTTAATGAAGAAGGAAAATTATTACACGAGTTTGACTATATTTTCAGAATTTTGTCTTTTTGGGGCAAGAAACAGGCAAACTTCTTTTTTAGCTTCTACAATGTTAATAAAAATTAGTATCGACGTAAATACAGCTTTTCTAACGTAACTCTGAAGGATTCATACCATTTAGCATAATGTTTTTCAAGTTTCTCAAAAATATTAAGTTTTTTTCCATGCCCCAACATTTTGCCCTGTTCTTTTGCACCGAGGTCTTCAATTGAAGACGAGATCGAAATTATCGAAATTATCTTCCACACACGCTCTTTGTAATTGAAGTTCCTGTATTTTTCATTTGCTTGGTCGTACAACACTGAAAACTTCCAAATTTCTTCTATTAGCTTTTCCGATTCCATGTTAAAACCTCTGTGAACCCGCACCGCATCCGTGTTAAATAACAGGGAATTTCCGCACTTCTTCAATGAGTTTTTCGCTCTCCATTTTCTAGCCGCACCGTTCAAAAAAGTAAACTGAACTGGTCTGTGACGTACGGCCTCGGTGCGGTCTCCAAGCACCACGACGGTACTGGCGCGGTGCGGTGGAATGTGTCCCGACACGTTCAAATGCATTGTTTTTCTTTCTCACCGTAGCACGTCCAACACTCGGCCGTGTGTTGGCGCGGGCTCGGTGCGGTTATGTGTGTCCCGACCCTCGGAACATCACCACACTACGCCAACACCACAACATACGCAAAAAACACGGGCTGATGTATGCAAATCTGCATCAATCGATGTGTTTAGAGAACCTGGTAACATATAGTTGGGAATCCCCCTGGATTCTCGGATATACTCGAGACACCGGGGGGGATCTAGACGGACTATCTCTCAAGCAGGAAAATAAAATAGTGACGTGGACGTGAGAAATCACTACCAATCACTGAACTCGGGCATAATATGTGCTGCACAAGAAATGTGCAGTACAACTGCCCGAGCAAAACAAGAAAGGAGGTTTTTTATGGTTTTATCTCCCCACATTGATCACGATTGAACAGCTCCCCCATCCTCTTGGGTACCTTCAGCGATATCACCTATATAAAGGGCCTACCCCTAGGAGATAGGTATCTGTGACGAACACCTTGCATATCCACTCACATTCCCTGGCCAACACCAGCAACCTCTGCGACAAGCGGAGGGATACACAAGCATACCTGCAGATGTGCCAACATTAGAAGTGTGATTGATATACAGGCTGATTCACGGTGGATGGCACATTAGACGTTTCTGGTGAACCAGACAACGGATCATTTTGAAAATTTAATGGAGGGCATATTCGGACTTTCTCTAGCCAACTAAAATATTTTCGACAATGCGGTGTTGCCGCTTCTATTAGAAAGCAGTAGCAACTTTGATTTTTCAAATGGAACACTCTGTATTTTATTGCATTTTTAGATTCTCCCTGAAGAGCAGATTTCATCAATGTATCACACTTGGGGTCTAGCGGAAATGATTACAGAGATATAGGGTGTGAAAAATCGACATTTTTCAACTTTAGGAATTTTTTTTGTCGAAACTATTCATTATTGGTCAAAACGGCTCACATGTCCCTATCTCAACTTTTGATCAATTATCTACTAACATTTAATTGAAACAATACAGGGTGGTGCAGAATTCAGAATCTTGATCACCCGGTATATGTCCCAATTAAATATTAGTAGATAGTAAATCAAAAGTTGAG